ATGGTTGAAGGGAGGATGAAGGAAGGAACAAGGGTCAGGCTGGTTGGTGTCAGTTGCAGTTTATTCCATTCCCATCTCCATTCTCTTCCTCCTCCGAATCATCCTTCCCTGATCCCCCTCACCCTCCTCTTGGAACCTGCTCCTTCATATTTCTCCTTCCTGCCTCTGCCTCCCCATTCTACTTCATTCTCGTTCTGGTTCCCCCAGCCCACTCTTACAGCCTTAGTTAAATCCCAAAACATGAGGGTTGGGGGTAATAATTACATGTAGGTGTGGTCATACCATCAACAGAGGTAAAGTCCTTCCCTCAGGGAAGCTTCTTCAAGGACAAATACTCATTTAGTAAGATGACCCTCCCAAGACTGAAATTCCAACTATGGGTGTGTTTCTCCTCTCCTTAGTCCAACAAACATACATTCATAATAGTAATCATTTTGTGTGAGCACAGTAAGAGATACATTAAGCTTATAGGATTGCTCTCCTAGGGCCATCTTACTATAGATCTCAGACTATAGTGCTCAGGTCAGATTAGTCTTTCCTAACCCTAGCAGGGTCCTAATCTTGTCGTTACTTTTTGGGTCATGACAGGATTTGTCTATGACCATGCTCTTAACTTATAGTTAATTATTGTGGCACTTTGGCCTGGCCCATTTGGTGCCAGGGTAGCTCACAGCTTTCCCTGGGTTCATTCAGTCCCTCCTCAGGACCTTGCTTTTGGGGTGCTAGTAACTAAGGGCAACTGAGGCTTAAGTAGAGAAAGCAGATGTCCAGGAGTGAATATTATTCGGAGTCAATTAACTCCTAAGTTACAAAAGCATAATATTAACTGTCTTCCTGGGTTTATACAAAAAGAACATTGCTTTAAAGTAAACTATACATGGAGGGATGGGTGTTTGATCACTGTGTGTTTGTAACCCAAACATGAAAGCTTGTAACTATCTCATGGTGATTCAATAAAATAAAAAAGAAAATAAAGTAAACCTCGGAGAGCCCGGCAAGCTACCGAGAGTATTTGATATGCCAAACACAATAACAACAAAGTCTCCAATGGAGACATTACTGGGCCCGCTCGAGCAAATCGACAATCAACGGGAGGGCCTTTACCTTTTATACAAAAGACATAAGGAGAGGGGAAGGGCAATATTTAACTTACAATACAAGTTCATTGTCCTCAGAATGATCCTTACAAAACAGAGTCTGATTAGAGGGGAAAAGGTGATAGACTGGTTGGGGAAGAGAGCACAGAGAAGTTACAGATAAGCACAAAGGAATGGGAGTGACTCGGGAGCACTGTGATGGGTGTAACCCGATAAACCTAAGCTCACTCCCTGTGGCAAAGGAGAAAGGACAAACCAATGTTATCCTATATCCAGGAATCACTCCCATGGGGATCAAGGGACCATGTAGGATGCTGGAGATTAAACCCAAGTCAGCCATGTGCAAGACAAGTGCCCTACCCACTGTATTATCTCTCCAGCCCTGATTTTCTTACTTAAAAGAAATATCTTGGGGCCAGAGAGATGGTCCAGTGAGCTGAGCACATGTGTTACATTTTAGGAGGCCCTGGTTCAATCCCTAGCACTGCATGATCTTCAGAACACTACCAGGAGTAACCAACAAGTGCAGACCCAGGAGTTGCCCCTGAGCACTGAAGGAACGACATTTGAGCACAGAGCAGGGAGTAGTCCCTGAGCACAAGAGGTGTTACCGTAAACAGAAAAAGACAAGAAAAATATTGGCTCATAATATGAACTTGGATTTGGTTATAGTAGCACTGTAGCACTGTCCTCCCATTGTTCATCGATTTTGCTCAAGCGGGCACCAGTAACATCTCCATTGTGAGACTTGTTAGTGTTTTTGATACATCGAATACATCATGGGTAGCTCACCCCCTCACTCACTCACTTCCTTGTGTTTACTCTGTGTCTACTAGACTCTACTTTCTGGCATAGTTACTCTTGGTCTGTTTCCCAATGTCCTGTAACTCAACACTATTCCTCAAGTCTAAGTGGCATGTTTTGGGGTGGCAAACCCTGACCACCCTCCTCAGTTGTAACAGTGTTTCAACTGGACTTGTAACAGTGTTTCAGGAACTGGAGACCTCAGACTAGCTGGCCAGCAGCCCTTCCCCTAGCAGAGAGTCCAGAGCATCAGGGTGAGAGTCAGCGGGCAGTGAGGCTACCAGGGGTTCCATTTTGAATGCCCCATCTGACCTGCAAGATAGGCACTATAACTAAACACTGGAAGGGAGGGAAACCAAGGCAGGAGCAGATGGTTCACACACAAACACAACTTTCGCACTCCCCCACCAGTGTCCTTACAAGGCTGCTGGCCACCATCACAGGACCACAGCCTGGATGTGGGCATCTGGCCTGGGGCACACGTGGCTCCTTGTGAACTTCTTCACAGCCTCACTATGTCCTGGCAGAGAGGCCCAGAGCAGATGAACTCAAAGCAGCAAACCAGGTGTGAGTCAGGTCGTGAGGGGGTTGGTTGTGAAGTGAGAGTCTTGGCACAGAATCAGATCCAGTCAGAGGGCTTCACAGCTCCAAGCAAATTGAAGGACCCTCGTATAAGAGCCCGTGGAGGGCACAGCAGGGAACCAGCCTAACAGGGTTCTTGCTGATCTGGTAGGTGGCCACATCAGCTGGGGGTAATTCAACTGGTAAGGGACCTGATAGGACATTGGGATGCTCAGATATTGATCAAAGAGGTGTTTCTGCTGAGAAAAGCAAATCATCTCCCCTTCTTTGGGCTCCCTACCTGCACTGTATGAACAAGACTGGCCAAGATAGGTGAACAGGAGAGATACATGGGCCTGTTGGGGTCTCCCACAGTGCAAACTCATCCAATACTCATGGGGCTGTACCATCTTCCACTATACCAAGGGAGCAGGCTGTGCTTCTTTGTGGGGTGCAGGTGATGGGGTGGTGATCAGGAAAGCGTGGCATAAGAGGCTGTTGAGGAGGGTTTGGAAATGTGAATTCCCTTAGGACTCTGAAAAAGAGTTGGAAGCTTCCCTCCTCTGCTGGTTGGCTGTTGCCTGCAGAGTTCAAAGTAATCTGTGCAAGAATGAGGCATTTGGGTGACCTGTTCTGGCCCCCTCATTTTTCCCCTTTGAATATCTGATTGTTTTATTGATTGCTGAACATTATATATGAAAAATGTACAGCTGGTTTAAGATTCTGAATGATCTTTTTTGTTTTATCTTTGGGCCACACTTGGCGATGCTCAAGGGTTACTCCTGGCTCTGTGCTCAGGAATTACTCCTGGTGAGATATATATATATATATATATATACATAATATATATATATCATATATATATATAATAGTACTGTTGCTGATGGGTTTCATACATAACATTTTACCAACTTTTAGTGCCGCAACCTCCTCCTGGTTGAATGCTTCTCTCCATGGTAGGTGTTGCGGCCCCTGCTTTCGATCTTATCCTCCAGGCCCCTCCAGTAGCATAGCGTAGTTCATACTGAATATCAGTTCTCATGTTCTTAGTTTCCATTGTCTGGGTATTCCCACATATTGTTCCACTGTTATGTTTCTTTATGTTTCTATGTCGGTCTCTCTCCCTCTAGTTAGCTTCATTCAAATGATATTCGCCAGGTCCCTCCCTGGAACAGCTGCATAGTAGTCCACTGTGTATGTGATAAAGATAGTTTCTTTATCCAGTCATCTATTCTTGGACACTTGGGTTGTCTAGATTTTGACTATTTTGGATAGTGCTGCAAGGAACAGAGGGGTGCAAATGTCTTTTCTCCATTGTTTTTGTTTCTGAGGGACCCTCATTTCTAAGTTACTGTCACAGGTAGAGACTAAAGGGGAGGCCCTGGGAGCTGGCTAAATGATCCAGGTGTGTCTTGGCCCACTCATGTGGGCATGCGTAGCTCATCCTATGAGGACTCTGTCACACAGGGCTCTCAATTGTTGTATTATTAGTGACTTCATTGAAATTGTCTTCTTTAAAGACCCATCTGACACCACAGACAGTTTGGAGGGCTGGCACACAGGCCTAGCACGCACAGAGCCCTGAGTTCCTTCCTTGAAACCCTGGACTCCACCAAGGAGGCCAAATGACTCTTTCATGATTAAACCAATAAAACCTATAAGGACCCATCTCCAAACATTCTAAGACATGACTGGTGCCAGTGTAGGAATCTGGGTAAAGGGCGCTCAGCCCCTGGGGGCACCCTGCTGTGTGGAAGTTAAGGTTAAGGGAGCTTGAGCTCAGGACAGGGAGATTTTAATATTAGATGACCTGGGGTTATGTGCTGCCTGTCATGCCCATGGGCGTGCATGGGCGTTTGTGGGGTGCACCAAAGCCCACTCTGGAGTCTGCCTTTCTGAGGAATATTACTGCCAGCAGCACCTTTGGCATGCACACAGTTCTCCTGTCAGGACCACAGTGTGAGCCCAAGAACTCTTCCAGAGTCCTCTTCCACCACATCCCAGTTCTCTTGGTGTGTGTGTTCCTGGGACTCTAAGGAGCTGCACTCCATGTCCGCAGAGTAAACCACAAAGACCTCTGAGTTCTTGGTGTCTGCACACCATGTTGGGGCTCATATCCAGCTGGAGTCTATCACCATAGACAGAGGGAGAGCCCAGCAAAGGAGCAGCGGTGCTCCCTCATGCCCCTCTCAGGGCATTCACTCCAGGCTGCTTTCCAGAGCCGCACACACAGCTTTGGGCAGGATGCGCAGGAGGTCAGTGCAGTGCGGAGGCAGGGCCAGAGTGAGCCAGCCTCCAAGAACACACCATGAGCCCCATGATGTGAGCTGCAGGACCCTGCAGGGTCCTCTGCTCCATCCTACAGCCATTGCAGGGCTTGAGTTCCCCCACTCTGTCTGGCTGTGCCTCCCCCTACCCCAGCTCTTTTCTCCCCTGTGCTCCTGCCTTTCTGGGGAGTTTCTTTGGTTCCTTTTCTTAAGGCCAGGCCCACTGTGGAACAGCCACTTTCAACCTCATGAACCTCATTTCTTTCCTCAGGTTCCAGAGGCCTCCTAATGGGTGGGCAGGTAAGTGCTTCTGGAAACTTCAACAATCTGCCCTGCCCCATGGATAATGCAGACTGGATGTCGGCGCTGTGTCCTGGGCTCTGGGATGTGCCTCTCCACCACCTCTCCATCCCAGGTGAGCCTGTATCCACCAGACGGGTCCATCGTTGGGGTGGGAAACCCACTACCACACTTGTGCGCGCGCGCACACACACACACACACACGGACATAACAGTGTCTTCCCTTCAGTTTCTGGTTCTTGCTGAGGGTCTGGAGAGTCTTGGAGGCCAGAGCCCCAACCCATCTTGGAGGTCTGGAATGGAGAGAAAACCCACACCCACTCAGAAACCTCCTAGAGGAAAGGAGGGAGGGGGTTAAGAGGGGAGACTGCTGGCAGTTCTGGGGGAACATCTGCTATGTTTGGGGGTTGCCATTCTCCCTCAAAAACATGAAGGGCATTTCAGCATTCGGAGCAGGAGCATCCATGGGGGTGTAGCCCCAGGCTGATTTGTCATCCTGCTTTGTATGTCTGCTGTCACTGCGCGGTTATCTGTTTGTTCACCTAACCGTGGCAACACCCTGCATCTCTATAGGGAGCCACGACACCATGACATACTGCTTGAACACAAAGTCCCCCATTTCCCACGAGCAGTCCTGGCTGCTTCAGCTTCTGGGCAAGGTCCTGCCGTGTGTCACCCGCCCCGTGGTGTTGAAGTGGTCCATCACCCAGGTAAGGGCTCTGGGCCGAGGACCCTGGAGGCAAGCCCCAACCAATCTTGGGACCTGGAGCAGAGGGCAAAACAGCACCGACCTAGAAACCTCCCAAGGAAAGGAGGGAGGGGGCTGGTTGTTGAAGACACAGGAAGCCAGGAGGGGGTGTGCATCCCAGGGAGCCTCTGGGAGAACCCCTTCTTGGCTCAAAGGGCCAAGTACCTGGGGTTCTGGATGATCACTCAGGGCTTCTCTGTTTGATGAGCTGAGTGGACTGTGAGGACCCCTCCTCCTGGGACACAGATGTGGGTATCTTCCTCCCCCTCCTTTCTGAGCTGCTCCAGGCCCTGGGGAACTTGTGGAAGCTTCTTCAGAAGTTTTATGCTCACTTCAGAAAAATGAGGAAGAACTGACCGTTGGCATTTCACAAGCTGACAAACAGTCAACAGGACTATCTTGCTTATGGGGGTTGGCAGAGGATGAGGCCTGCGTGCAGGTTCTCTGATAGTGCAGGTTGATGATGAACAGGGCAATGGGGGGGGGGGCAGAGGTGGTGGGAGCTCCTACTGTGCTTGGCACCAAGGCCACAAGAGGGGGCCTCAGATAATAGTCCAGGCCCCCTTGGAAGCAGCTCCCTCTCCTCCCAGCATGGTCCTTTCTACCAACTTTTTTCTGTATGTGTGTGTGAGCATGTGTGTGTGTGTGTGTGTGTGTGTGTGTGTGTGTGTGTTAAGCAGGTAAAATACATTTTATTTATTTAAATTTTTTTTACTGGAGCGATAGCACAGCGGGTAGGGCATTTGCCATGCGACCGACCCTGGTTCTATTCCTCTGCTCCTCTTGGAGAGCCCAGCAAGCTACCGAGAGTATCTCGCCCATACGGCAAAACCTGGCAAGCTATCCTGAAGTATTTGATATGCCAAAAACAGTAACAACAAGTCTCACAATTTGTTGTGAGATGTTACTGGTGCCCCCTCAAGCAAAATGATGAACAACCAGAGGACAGTGCTACAGTGCTACATAGTAAGATATGGTTACAAAGTTGTTCATGATTGGGTTTCAGTCACATAATGTTCTAACACCTGTCCCTTCTCCATTTCCCACCACCAATGTCCTCAGTTTTACTCCCACCCTCTCCTCCTGCCTGACTTTATGGTAGGCACTTTTACTCCTCTCTCTCTCTCTCTCTCTCTCTCTCTCTCTCTCTCTCTCTCTCTCTCTCTCTCTCTCTCTCCCCCCCCCTTTGGGCTTTATGGTTCTTTTACCTACTTTAAACACCCAGTTCCTGTCCAAGATGATCATTTCTAATTATTATTGTCATTCTGGTCCCTTCTCTATCCTAACTGCTCATTGCCCTCCAGACAAGCTTGTAGCAAGCTTCCAGCCATTGAGCAGTCCTCCTTACCAGCTTTTCTGTTCCCTCAGTTCTCCACCTCTAGTCACCTTCTATAGTGGCTCTGCTCGCCCCGGATCCCTATGTGAAGCTGGATTTCCACAGCTACAGGCTAAAAAGTTACTCAGACTCTGGAGGTGATTTCTCCATTGTTTTCATCACTAAACTTTAAAGTTCTTAGTCGTGCAGCAGGAAGGAAAGGAATGTAGCTTTATTTCTGCCTGGAGGAATAAGTCAACTCATCCCAACACCAACCATGGTGGACTCTAACTTACCCGTTCTTGGAACAGGCAGGACTGTTCTGGGTAGGAGGAACCAGCACAAAGCATTTGTATGTGAGGCCCTGGCAACCTCGGCTGCACAGACTCTCCCTGCCACAGGCACAGGCACCCAGCAGGTGTGAGGAGAACCCTCCGAAGAACTGCTGTTGGGCAGTGCCATTAGCTCTCATCTTGGCATTCCTGTTGGTTTGTGCCCGAGGCTTGATTTCACAGCGAAAAGGGCAGGGTTTCTTCTCTTGGTGGGAGATGCAGACCTCTGTAGGTGCACCTGCCCCGAGCCTGGTTGTAGCCACAGCTCTAAGACCAGACTGAGGAAGGGCAGGTGTTGTCACACAACTGGAACAGAACAGTCTGGCTCTGTGGTTCTGACGGGGAGTGCAGGAAGTTCCACAGCCTAAGCAGAGCCACATGAAGCCCCTGGCCTCTTCGGATACTTGTTTTCCAAATATTAAATAGTGACCTCCCTTTTTTCCATCTGCTGATCACTAAAGGCCATTGTAGGGTCTGTAGAATACAGTCACTTTCTGTGTTCCCAACACTGACTCAGGAAGGTCATGGAATGGCAGGCATGGACAGGGCAGCCCGAGGACCCTGAATGGGGGAGGGGTGCCCTGATCCTGTGGGCAGCAGGGGTGGGATTGATGCCCTTGTCAAGGCCCCTGGGCCTCTCCAGGAGGAGAGTCCCAGACAAGGGGTGACCCTGAAGCCAATTTCTCACGTGAGCTACTCAGAAGTGTGATGGAGACTGGGAATGGTACAGCCATGGCCCCTGGTAGCCTCTGCACCTCAGCTTCCTCATCTGCCACTAAGGAGTGAAGAGGAGAATGAAGGGCCTCATAGGTGTAGACTATTTTCACATTGTTTCTTCTTTGCCGCTATGACTTGCACTATTTCTATTACCTTTCAATGTTGCTTTTACTTTTGTTTTTATATTTTCTAGAGAGCACCACCTTTTCTGTATATGTGTTTTTAATCTTTTCCCACCACCACTTTGTACTGAGAGCACCATAGCATCTTCTTGCTCCTTCATTCTCCGTAATTCTTTTTTCGTTTTGGTTGGTTGGTTGGTTTGCGGCTACACTCAGCTCTGCGTAGGACTTACTCCTGGCTTGTCACTTAGGGCTTACTCTTGGCAGGGTCAGGAGATCATATATGATGTTCAGGATTGAACCCAGGTTGGCTGTATGCAAGGCAAGTGCTCTGCTGCTGTACTGTCACTCCAGCACCCCCATGATAACTTTGTATGAAAACTAATTTTTCTTTATTTATCCTAGCTCTGTTTTCTTGCCTTCCCTAGTCCTGTTAGTGGGTGGAAACAGCTGTCCGAGTGCTGTCCCCCAGCGCATCCTGACCTCCAGGACTCTGATGCAGGCCTAATCCCTCTTGAGACCCTGAGGATCCTTTCCTTGAGACTTGACTTCTGGGAAGATGTGTGAGAGTTGGGGACAGGTCCCTGCAGGCATGCCCTGAGAGACCAGTGTCAAGGTCCAGCAGGCACTGCAAGGACACGGTCATCTAGCTGCTTCCTAGGACAGTTCCTCCCCAGCACATGTCCTGTTCTCTGGGAAGTGGTCTCTAAGACCAGTGGTGACCTGCTCTAGGGGTAGCACTGAGCTGGCATTGGAGAGCGGGACCTTTGGACAGGTATCCTGAGTAGCGGGTCATGAACTGGAGTGGGAGCTGCTGCTATGCTGGCAGATGTGAGCACTCTCCACCCACAGGCACTGAACATCACTGAGCAGCTGGACGCTGGGGTGCGGTACCTGGACCTGCGGATTGCTCATATGCTGCAGGGATCCGAGAAGAACCTGCACTTTGTCCATATGGTGTACACGACTGCACTGGTGGAGGTGTGTGTGTTGCGGAGTGGGGGGGAACACAGGAATTGCACCACATCCCTTCCAGACAGGAGAGGCTGACCTTTGTGGGATGGGGCCATGCTGAGCAGATAGGAAGTCTCCTCACTCCCTGGAGATGGACCGTGTCTGTTCCAGAGTTAAAGTGTCTGACCAGCACTCTCAGTCACCAAGCTCTGGGCTATATGCATGCTCCAGCACCAAGTTCTGGTTTTTATGCTTCTCGTAACTACACCCAAACCCCTGCTTCTCCTTCACTTCCTGGGTGTTTTGTTTTGTTTTTGCACACTTGGGCCTGATCTGACTTCTTGCCTTGACATCATGTTTTCAATTCATTCTCCTTTGGCTGTTAGGTAACATCACCTTGACACTGCTGCTTCCTCTGTGCTCACTGTGAACCCCCGGACTCTTGGGATCAGAGGTGCTTTCTCTGGGATCTCACTCTGCATGTCACCCGATGGCGCCTGCTTATTCCTGAGAGCTTCTAACCTTCACTTTCCCACACACTGTGCCTGTCTGCGGTGAGCATGCTTCCACTGGCTATACAATTGCATGTACACACTCACATGTGTGGGTGCACATATGTACAAGCAAGTGAACACATGCAACTGTGCACTGACAAATCACACATGTGCCATGTACACTAACGTGTACTGAGAGGAATTCTATGTATACACAAACTCATGAACACATATACATGCATGTGGATACACTCACATGTGCACAAAATCACATACACACAGGAACACTTGCATGCACACATGCCTATGCATGCATACATACACACGCACACACTCATGTGTGTGCACACACTCAAGCATACACACATGCACAAACACTTGCACACAGGCATACATGCATACACAATACACAGTCAAGCATACACACATGCTCACAGGTGCACACATGTATGTGTACACACATTCATGCACATCTGTACCTACAGGCATGCATGCATATGCACATGTATCTGCTTCCCTGTGCAGAGCGTGTTGTGGTGTCATCCAGCTGGGGTGAGTTTCCAGTGAGACCATTTTCTGCGGGACTGTTGTCATGTTTGCCTCAGGCAGGGATGACACATTTTCCCAGTAGGTTTGCTTTGCAGAGATCTCTGGGCTGGGGTAGCATCCTCCTGCCCCAGGCCCTGTGTGTATGACTCAGCCCATCCTCCAGGACACGCTTACCGAGATCTCTGAGTGGCTGGAAAGCCACCCCCGAGAGGTGGTCATCCTGGCCTGCAGAAACTTTGAGGGGATGACGGACGACCTGCACGAGTACCTGGTGGGCTGTATCAAGAACATCTTTGGAGATATGCTGTGTCCCCGAGGGGTGAGAAGTGTCCTGACTTCCCACATCTCTCCTTGGTGGGTTGTGGGGTGTGGGCTACCACTGCCACTACAGACTTCATCTACATACTTGACTCAGCTGCAGTGGTGCTAAGATCAGCCGGGAGAAGCTGATAACAGGCTCTACTTGATGACCAGGGATCAATACTTACAAGATGCAATCTGGTCCTCCCTAGCAGAATGAGGGGATGGGATAGAGGGTGAAAAGATGGAAGGGACAGATTGGAGGGCAAAGGATAGAGGGGAACAGGATGGAGGAGTCAGAATGGAGAGAACAGGATGGGTGATACAGGATAGAGGGGACAGGATGGAGGGGTCAAGATGGAGAGTGACAAGATGAAAGGAAGTAAGATGGATGGAACAGGATGGAGGGGCTGGATGGAGTGGAGCACTAATACCCAAATTTCCTATCAACCTTGTATCTTGGACATCTCTTTAACATCTTCTGGGTACCCAGTAGCCCACCTCCCCCATCTCAAACATACCCCAGTTACCATCATCCGTGTGTCACAGAAACTCCCAACATCTTCCCTGTAGGATATACCTACACTGCGTCAACTATGGGCAAAGGGTCAGCAGGTGGTCCTGTCCTATGAAGATGAGGGTGCTGTAAGCCGACACCAGGAGCTGTGGCCAGGGATCCCCTATTGGTGGGGCAACAAGGTGAAGGCCCAAGAACTGGTCTGCTACCTGGAGCATATGAAGAGTTGTGGACGCCCAGGTGAGTAAGTCTTGCCAGCAGGAGATGTCCATGTTCTGTCTGGACTGAGGTGCTGTTGGTCATGGCAAGTGAGACTGCTCTGTGGAAGACTCTGCCCTGAAGCCTGGTCCCATGATGCAATGTCCTAAGTTTGCCTCTGGTTTCAAGGAAGGAAGCATGAGACAACCAAGTATGTTGTGTGCAAACATCTGCATGTATGACCACCTGTGCACATGTGCAGGTGCACACTCGCACATATATAGCCATGTATGTTTACATGCGCAGATGGGCACACAATGGACACATGAGCACAATTTTTGTGCAATGTGCATGTGGCATGACGTTGAGGTGTCCATGTTATCATGTCATAGCTGCTACACCTGCTCTGAGATTAACTTTATATCAAGCATCAGGGTTTTCGTCCTTTGATCCAGGGTTCAATAGCTGAAGAAAACCCCTTTGCACACATGTCCCAACTTTTGGTGACTGAAGGCTCTACCCACTGCAGATGTCCCCAACTCTACCTGTTGCATATTTGTGCCCCCATGTGTGGTAGCCAAGACAAAACCTGGGCCTCCTGCATACTAAGCATGCTCCAGCCTGTTGGTCAGCCCCCTATTCCAGCATTTGAGTTGTAAATTGTTACAGACCTCAGCTGTAAGATGGGATGAACCCTCTCCCAGATTTCAGTTGTGATCCAGAGTCTAACTCCTGCCTCATCTCCATAGTTGATTGGCAACCATTCACTGGCTTGAAGTATTTTCTCTTCCCAGCCAAAGATTCAACTGTCCTATTTCTTTGATTCAATGCCCGGTATCTAAGTGCTGTGCTGTTGACACCTGGTTCCACGATTACCCATTCACTGGACATTTCTGCTGAGTAAACCTGATATAGAACCATACTTTAAAAAATAAACCAGAGGTCTCATCGCATCATGCAAATATGTGTCACACATCTGGTGACAGGAGAAGCTCTTACTGGGTCAAACATGCTTGTTGCAGCAGCTCCTTTGACCCTGGTCCTACTGAAGTGGCAACCCCACCTTCCAGGATTTTGCTAACCTTGACTTCTGTTCACTGGCTGATTCTTATGGAAAGACTTGCTTTAGTGAGATCATTCACCTGGCGTTTGTTTTTTTGAAGCCACTGTCTGTCCACAGAGCCTGCATCAGCCTTTGACCCATCTGCCATGTGCTGCTCAGGGTTATTAAGGGCCAGACAGGGAGAACATCACAGGGCAGGAATGTTAGGGAGTTGGAACCCTGGCACCCCACCTGACTGAAACTTGAAATCTGTGGGTCCTACTTCATTGCCAGAATACTTAGTGGGCAGCACACACACATCTATTATGAGATGAGTGAATCTGTGCTCCAGCTGGATGCTGGCTATTACTTATCTAAGACAGCAAGGAAACCCTAGCTACAATGTGATGTGCCCAGAAAACGAAGGTTCCAAAAAGTGAGATGTAAAAGGACACAGTGCGGGTCCAGTTGACAGGAAGCATCCAGATCAGGTACCTACAGACATGACATGGTTCCTGGTGCTGGGGGCTGGAGGAAGGAGCTGGGAGGGGCTGGTCCTGAGGACAGCCCCTCTTCAGAAACTGAGAGGCTTGCTGGCTGCATGATACAGTGAATGTGATATAGCAAATCTCATTTTCAGTGCTTTTAAATTAGTAAGTAAATTGTCTGTTAATGAAAATGTTAAATTTTTTTAAATCTCCATGTCACAGAAAACAGTTGTGGGTTCCGATGTAACGAGAATATTTTCAGTCTATCTTCTGAGGGTGGAGCTACCAAAAGCCTCCTACAGCAGGTAGGGACCCTGTAGGGTCCTTTCCTGCTGTCCTGTCTGTGCTCCAGCCTGAGCCCACGTGTGTTTCAGATGGACTGTTTGTGGCGGGGATCAACCTGACGGAGAACCTGGAGTACGTCCTTGTGCACCCATCCATGTCCCTCAAGAAGATGACACTTCCCAGCCTGCCATACCTGTGTGCATGGGTCCGAGAACAGCATCCTGGGCCCGGTGGGCGCTGCACCAACATTATCGCTGGTGACTTCATTGGCGCTGACACTTTTGTCGGTGATGTCATCAGGCTCAATGATAAGCTGCTGGGGTGCTAACCATTCCTACCTGTCTGAACATGCACTTGACCAGAATTCAGGGGATAGAGGGGCCCCAGGATGGGGCGATGGTCTCTGCTGCTTTGGCCCAGCATGCCCATGGCAGGAGCTGGGCTCCCCACTCCTTAGGGCCTCTCTGGCCTTTGGTACTGATTATCATGCTGCCAATTAAAGGCAGAATCAGGTCAACGAGGCTGGGTGGTCCTAGAGCAGAGCTGGGGCATGTCTCCTGGGTTGAATGAAGTCTTAGGGCTGTGAGGTTATGTGCATAGTGGAGAAAGGCATATCGGTTGGAAAGGGCAGTGATGTCAGGGCCCCCTGAGAAAGCCACTCTTAGGAGCACAAGGGATCCCCGAGCTCTAATCCTGAGGAAGCTGTGCCCTTTCCCAGCTCTTGTTTGATTCTGCTTTTTCAGCAGTTGATGGGGAGAGATATGGGGGAATCTGCCCCAAATGAGGAGTGTAGTGCTTGCTCCTCAGAAATGGATAGAAGCCTCCCAGGATGCATCATCAGTAGGTGTGAGGAAGTCAGTGACAGGGGTGTTTTGAGGAATGGCCCATGCAAGCCTGCGGCCAGTCTCCAGTTGCTCCTGCAGCACCCAGAGACTCACCTCTGCCCCTTTAGAGAGGATCCAGACCTGCCTCCTCCCTCCACCCACACTCGGGCCAGCAAGAGGCTCCCCATTCTACAGTGCTCCAGAAATGAAGCACTGTCCCCTCCCACTGTGACTCTCCCCTCACACCTTGTGACTCTCCTCAGACCTGTCCCCTCACACCTTGTGACTTTCCTCTCACACCTGACTGTCCCCTCATACCTGTGTCTCTCCTCACAACTGTGACTGTCCCTCATACCTTGGTTTCCCCCTTACACCTATAACTGTGCCCTCACACTTGAGTCTCCCCTCACACCTGTGACTGTCCACTCACAGCTGAATCCCCCCCCCACACTCATAACTGTCCTGTGACTCTTCCCCTAACACATGTGTAACCTTCCCCCCACTCCGCCACTCCAGCTCATCACCTCTACACCCACCACATACCTGTGATCCTTCCCTTTCCCCCAACGTGACAGTGGATATTTATCAGCTTTCTTGGCTCTGTTACCCATTTGGCATCCATTCCTCACGGCACCCATGATATAAACACAGCACCCATTTGCGGCCTGAAACCTCAGGAGCCTGCCCTCAGCTGGCTGATCCCTGGAGATGAGCAGTTTCTTGGTGCACTAGGCACCTCCCACTGCACTGGGCACTGAGTGCTCCCCGGCCACAATTTCTCAGGGCTGGTGCACTCCTGTGGCCCAGGACTGCCAGAATCAGATGATTCTCACCTGTGCTGCCTTGCCCGCCTTTCCCTGAGAATGCACAGCCTACTGCGTCCCAAACACATTCAGCTCTCCTATGACCCTATGTGGTGTGCCTCTCTTGTGAGAGATGGGAGGGAACTTTCTCCCAAGGGCTACATCTCCATGTAACCCGCCCACTCTAAGAGACTCCATTTCACTCCATCCCTTGCGCTGCTTTCAGCACCAGCTCCCACATCAGAAACTCAGAGCCACCTCCTCTTGTATATAGAGCTTCAACAAACCGGTGGTGAGTTCTTGGCCAAAGGGCAAACTTAACCTAGGCTCACTCCCTTCCATCTCCAGAGGTTCCCAAGAATTATGTGTATGTCCTGTCCTGGAACGGTCAACTTTCTTAGGGCAGTGTTGAAAATGACTGTCCACATTGCAGCATGTTCTCTTGGGATCAAACCTATCATTTTCACAAAGGATCTGTTCATCTTTTGGCACCAGATGCCATGATCTTTCAAAGACCTCCAGAATCCAGAAAGACAAACTCATTGGCCTGGCTTCCTCAGCCCGTTTCCTGGGTCAGGACCCCAAAGCATTTAGTCTACATGGCTGTGAGGAAGGACCATGCATGGCAACAGATTCATGGCCTGGAAGCCATGTTTCCCTCTAAACCCACAAAACTGTGGTCACCTCAGGTCTGTGGTTGGATGGACTCCGCATGAACCAGTTCATTCTACAGAAGTTAGGAGGCATCAGGCAGACGGTTCTAGCTATTTGCTACCCACGGCATTGTCGGCAGCATTCATGAAAATACACAGGAAGGGCTTTCCAAAATGCTGACAGAGCAGTTTCTTCAGATTATGCAGCTCTATAAAAATGTGCTTTTAGTTTGCTATGTAAAGTCAGAACTGGATCAAAAATTTGAGTTTCCCATTTTAAGCTCGCCCATGAGGCCTGATGTGTAGATTCTGCATTTCATTTTTACAGATGAATGTCTGAGATCTGTGTGGGGAGGGACACACCCTTCATAAGGTTTTACTCTGTAGATGACTCACAGCCATACACACACCTGCACCTGTGGGGAAGGGCCCATCCTGCGTGTTTCTGGTCAATAAAGGTCACAGCATCATACAACAAAGGATATGCCTGTCTCCCTCTATTCATCTTCCTGCATTCAGTATCAGACACAGGGGCAGCAACGGGAGTCTGTCCTTCCTGTCCAAAGAGGACTCTAGGACAGCCAGTGCTGGATCTGGGCAATATGGGAATTTTGTCTTGTACCTCCCTTACCACAGCAAGTGTGAAACCCTCTCTGTTCCAGGCACCAGCCACCCCCTACCCCAATACTCAATTTCCCTCATGGAGGCCCTCGTCAGGCTTCCTCAGTCTGAACACTGCCCTGGACCCTGGCGATGCAGTATTGGTGATGGGGAGGGACAGTGGGTCAGTGGGCCGGCCCAGGGAGCAGAGTCAGACCACATGCCTTCCTGAGTCCCTACTGAATGGAATTGAGGCGAAAGAAAACCTCAAGGCCACACCAGAGAAGTGGGAGGCCCTGCAGGTGGTGACTGGCAGAGAAGATATTTGGAGGCACCCCTGGGGAATGTGATGCCCAGGGACCAGCAAATTAGCAGGAAAGATGAACCTCGGAGGTGCCTTTGACCCAGCAGAGTCCCTTCAGGCTCCAAGATCCAGGGGACAAGCCCAGGACTGAAGTGCATGGACAGCCTACTGTCCTGTACCAAGGTCTCAAGTGAAGGTGTGAGACCGTGAAAGTGAGCACAGGCGGAGCTGCACAGGCTTCTGCTTACAGTGCTAGATTCAGAATGTCCAGGGCCACTTCCTGCTAGGGGACCCAGGGTGAACCCATGTCTTGATGTGGACATGTTGCGGGACATTACTTTGTCTCCTCTTCTGCACGGGGCATCAGGAAGGTACTGCAGCTGGGAGATGATGTGACAGGTTGAGCACAGGCATGGCATGCAGAAGCCTTGGGTTTGATCCTTGGAAACACCATGAGTGACCCCTGAGCACCAACAAAACAAGAAAGGATGCTGGAAGTTTTCTATTTTCTACAAAGAAGAGTATGTGGCCTGCCACAATCACGAGAGGTGACTGACCCAGGCCTTATGTGCATGGATGTACACACCTGGCTTGGCAGATACATGGATGTCCCACACATTTGTGGGCACCAGGCCCCTTGTTTTTAGTTCTGTCTCTGACACTGTGTGGTGAGGGGGCAGCAGGCCTGGACTGCTGAGTGAGTGAGACAGGGCCCGACAGGCGAGAAGCACCTCTGAACTCACCAAGGGCTGGCAGCAGAGCGGGCAGACAGGCTTCCACACGCAGACATACAGCCTTTCCCCTCCTGCTCTGAGACATCATAGCCAGTGAGGAACTGTTTCACATCAACCACCCGTGGGTGCAGATGGAAACTGGAGGCAGCACCACTCCACTCCTGGGACCGTCTGTCACTCTGGAAAGAGCTTTCTGAACTTGCCCAGAGCAGAGCTGCTTATGATGACTGTGACGTCAGCTGTGCCAGCTTCAGGGAACACGGCTACCTCCTGCACTGTGGTCTCTGCATGCAGCCAGCTGTGCAGGAGAGACAGACAGGAAGGGGTGCCTGACCATCTCATCCTACACCTGTTCACCACACAAGCGCCAGCCCCAGTCCACACTCGCACCCCACATCAGGACCCTATTCTGGCTGGCTGAGGAACTGGCATGAACCTGACATGAAAAGGAAGGTGAGGCCCTGAATGTGCAGGTGACGTTAATCACTTCTGCTGCTGGCAAGTGGCTCACCTGGAACTCCCTTTCCTGTTTCTTATCCCTCCTACTTGCACAACGGAACCCAGGCCCCACCTTGTCCCCCACCTCCATCCTTCTGACCTTCCATCCCCACTGGGCCCCCCTGATCGTCCATCGCCCTGAGCCTCCATGCCCCGAACCCTCTATCCCAACCTGGCCCTCCATCCCCCCCAACCACCCCTCAGACCCTCCATCTCCCCTGACCATCCCCCAGACCCTCCATCCCCTGGGTCTCAATTACTTCCCAATGCCCATGTACCCATCCCCACAGACCTCTATCCTTTCACTGTGCCCACCCCAGGCCTTTATCTCCTCCTACCGGGCAGCCCAAGTCTCCTCACCTGAGCTGTGGACCATCCAGATGGACTCGGAAGGTGAGAATCTGTTTCCCTGTTGCCATCAAAACAGCATCTTCCAATTTAGCTTTCAGCTCCTCCAACCCTTGTCCCAGAAGGGCAGACACAGCCACAGCATGTGGCCCTGTGGGACAGTACCTGGGAGAGAAGGAGGCAGACCCTGCTCAGTGGCAGTCCTAAGAGTACCACACACTTGCCTGTGACCCTCCAGTTACCTGAGGAAAGCACAGGCCACATAGGGGTATTCACAGGACAATACAAAGAGGACAAGGCACAAGAGAAGGCTGGGGTGGAAAGTGGGGTTCAATCAAATGTGTTGCTCAGGCTGTGACAGAATTTCTGGTCCCCGAGAGACGCTGGCACAGGAAGGCTTCTCGTAAGAGTAGGTGAACCCCACGTGATAGGTGCCCCAAACCAGGGTGCGAGGGAGTTATCCCAGGACAGGATAAACGTATGGTGTGGTGGGGGTCCCCCTGGTACACAAGGACAAGTCTACAGTAGTGGGTGTGGCTGGGACGTCACTCACTGTAGTGTAACATTGGTTTGTCCTTTCTCCCTTGCCACAGGGAGCTTAGGTTTATCGGGTTATATTCATCACAGTGCTCCCGAGTCACTCCCATTCCTGTGTTTATCTGTAAACTCTTCTCTGTGCTATCCTCCCCAACCAATTAATCATCTTTTCCCCCTAATCAGATTCTGATAACCCATTAAGATCAGATCCTTCTAAGGACACTGAACTTGTAAGTTATGTCTTTTGCATACTTAAAGCAATGTCCTTTCTGTATGGTCACAGGAAGACAGTTAACATTATGTTTTCGTAACTTGGGAGTTGACTGACTCCAAATAATACTTACTCCTGAGCATCTGCTTTCTCGACTCAGTTGCCCTTAGTTCCTAGAACCCCAAAAGCAAGGTCCCAACAAGGGACTGAATGGACCCAGGGCAAGCTGTGAGCTACCCTGGCATCAATATGGGCCAGGTCAAAGCACCACAATACTCAACTGTAAGTTGAGGGCATGATCATGGACAAATGCTGTCATGATCCAAAAGTAATGATGAGATTAGGACCCTGCTGGGGTTAGGAAGACTAAACTGGCTTGAGAACTGTGGTCTACATATATTGCAGAATATATAGTGAGATGTCTTCAGGAAGAACCAAACCTTAAATTTATATCTCTTACTGTGCTCATACAGAATGACATTGCTAGACAGATTAGAAGTAGATTTACTACAACTGTTTAAGTGGATTACTAGCACAGCGGTAGGGCGTTTGCCTTGCACGCAGCCAACATGGCCGACCCGAGTTCGATTCCTGCGCCCCTCTCAGAGAGCCCAGCAAGCTACCGAGAGTATCTCGCCCGCACGGCAGAGCCTGGCAAGCTCCCCATGACGTATTCGATATGCCAAACACAGTAACAACCAAGTCTCCAATGGAGACGTCACTGGGCCCGCTCGAGCAAATCGACGATCAATGGGAGGGCCTTTACTTTACTTACTTTTACTAGCTGAGGAAAGAAGAAAGCGACACACCCTGGATGGTATCCCGCCCTTGAGCAGATCTCCTAGTAATCTGGAGTAATCTTTAGATGAGATTTTATCCTTGAGTTAATCTCCTGGAGGAGTGGTCTTACTCCTCTCTGTTGATTTGTTAATGTTCAACCCACCTTTGTATCACCACCCTATGTGATTGCTATAAACTAAGACTGTAAAACTGAGGGGGCAGAGTCAGATCCAGAGGCCAGAAGGAGGAGGGGGAAGCAAGAAGGAAAATGAAGGGGGCTGGAGATAGAGAAGCAGAAGGGGAGTGGAGATTGGAATAAACTACAATTGATACCGACCAACCTGGCCCTCGTTCCTTCCTTCGCCTACCTATCGCCTTTGGCCTCCCCAGGGTGGGAGAAGTGGCTCAAGACCACTGAATGCAGTGGCAAGAGAGAGCGCTGCCAGCTTTTTGAAAACACACAACTCACCCAGGTACCAGGTCCACCTTGTTGTGAACTTCCACGATGGAGGCAAGGAGTGGGGCGGGCAGGTGCAGGCCACGCAGCGTGGACAGGACACAGGCCTTCTGCAGCTCGGCTTCAGGGTGGCTCATGTCTCTTACGTGGATGATAACATCCTGCCACCAGATGGGTCTCGAGGTTGGGATGTGCAGGCTGTGGGTCCCCAGAGACACACGAGGATACAGCAGGCCAGGACTGCCCCCACAGAGCCCATCTATCTTGCGGGGAGTGGGCAGGATGCAGGGACAATAAACTGATGTACAAGTCACAAGCCCTCCTGGTGATCCCAAGTCCTGCCTGCTGCCAGGCCACTCAGCCTTGTGTGCCAGGATTGTGACCACTCAGTGTGCCATCACAGCGTATGTCCCCATATTAGTACATCACGTCCCTGTCACATGCCAGCTCCAGCACATCATGTCCCTCTCATGTCCCAGTTATATTACGTGTCATGTTCTCATCATGTCTCCATCATGTCCCAGACCCATCCCAGCTACAGCATACCATGTCATATCCCTGTCCCATCTGAGTTTTGTCACATACCATGCCCTGGCTGTGTCCTGCACCATGGAGTCCTCTGCACCTCCCCAGTGGTAGCAAGAGGCCAGTTAGAAGCACCACCCAATTTTCATTCATTTGGGCTTTCATCCTTTTGAGAAATATTTAATTTTTATTGACTTATTTAAGTTTTTGGGCCACACCCAGTGGTGCTCAGATGTCACTCCTGGTGGGGCTTGGGGAACCATATGGGAATCAAACCCAGGTTGGCCATGTACAGGCCTGAGAAACATATTAAACAAAGTTTAGAGCATTTCACATTTTAAAGAATACTTTTCCTTATTTATTTTTCTCAATGGAGCTCAGGAGCTAAACCTGGCTCTTGCTCAGAGGTCAATCTCAATGGTGTTTGGGGAACCATGCAGTGTTAGGAGCAGAGGCTGGGCCACTGTAAAGCTGTGCTCAGTCCTTGGAGCATGGCCCCAGTCCCTGCTTTTCCAATTTCAAGGGTTTCCATGAGAAGGCTCCCTGGTGTTGCCAGGAGGTACTGCTTACATTTGTGGTTTCAACTTCAGGGCTATATGTGTACACACACACACACACACACACACACACACACACACACACACACTTTCAACATATAAATGTGTTTCAGAGGTTCTTGGTCTAGGAATCCTGCCAAGATAATGCAGTTGCCCACCCTGTCTCGCCTGGTCCAGAGTTGGATCATGGCAAACTTGGCTTCACAGGCTGAGGGAAGGTCTCAACTTGCCTGGCTACCTGTCCTCAGGCTTCCCTCTTAATCCCACACTGCTGGACAAGCCACACTGTTCTCCTATCTCTGAGACCCCTCCAAACTGTGCCCAATGACAGCACAGTTTGGTGGGAGTACCTTTCGTTCAGTTTGTGGCTTTCCTCGTGTTCTCTCTGGGGCACTTTTAAGAAGGAACAGAGCATGAACCCTTGGAACAATCATTGAAGCTGCACATCAGCCTGACCAATGACTGAATGGTATTCTCCCATTTCCCTGGACAGTGCTGTGTGCTCCTTAACTCCAAAAGGGGGGCTCACAAGACCACCACAGCAGAGAGGCTCAACATCAGCTCCTTGAGAGGGTAAGAGGTGAGAGAACTACCCTACAGGCTGTGTGAGGGACCCAACACTGATGTTATGTATGAGTGACCTACCCTGGTGATGTCAAGTATGAGGGACCCGCCCTGGTGATGCCACATGAGGAACCTGCCTTAGTAATGTCACTAATGAGGGATTCGTGTTGGTTATATCACACATGAAGGGCCTGCCCCTCGTCATGTCACATGCTAGGGACCTGCCTCCCGGTGAGGTCACATGGGAGTGACCTGCCCCCCTCCCACTGTCTGTAAAGGGTTTTGGACCCTGGGATGACCACACTCACCGAATGGGCCACATCGTCCAGGGTGGCAGAAAAGGACTCAATGAGGCCATGGGGCAGCTGGGAGAGGAAGCCAATGGTGTCCATGTAGATGACAGTCATGCGGGAGGGCAGTGACCCTGCATGGGCTGTCACATCCAGTGTGGCAAACAGCTGGTCCTGGGGCTGGATGGCAGCATCCCCCGTCAGTGCCTTCACCAGTGTGGTTTTTCCTGCAGTGGAGAGCAAGGAGACATGCTGAAGGAAAGGCTCCTGTAAGGGCTTTGGGCTGCTAACACGTCTGACCCTGTCCCTGATAGGCAGCACCCAGTGCTGAGGCCCTGCAGGACCCTGGAGGGTAAGGATGTGGCTGCCTCTGCACCAAGCAAAAGAACCACTTTAAGTCTGGGGGCCTGTTTGGTTGGGTGATGGCACAGATGGGGTGCACAGAGGGATGGTGAGCATGGGACTGATGTTTACGGGTGATGCTATAGAGGGGACAAAAGGTGACAGCGTAGATGTGGGGGTGATGTTGGAATATGGGAAGATACAGTATGTGAGATGGGTGAGTGTATAAACAGCGTGTGGAGCAGATGAGAGGTGACGGTGTAAGACGATGATGTGGAGGAGGATGCGTAATGTGTATAAAGGGGTCTTGGCGGAGACAATGGGGGACGGAGTTTGGATGGGGAGTGAGAAAGGTAGGCATCTGTATAGACAGACAGTGGACAATGGTGTACACAGGATGATGTATAGATGCAGTGAAGCAGTGATTAAATTTCGGTGGATTTATGGTAAATCCTCGGGTGGACATCTGATTAGAGCTACTAGAAGGTGCAAATATGAGAAACATTTTGTGGACTCGTAGGGCAGAAATAAAAACAATTAGATAAGGAGATTTTTCTATCAGTATTTATAATGCCACAAAATGGACCCTGGGATGACCCGCCATGTCTCCTGTTAAGGCCCTCCCATTGATCGTCGATTTGCTCGAGCGGGCCCAGTAATGTCTCCATTGGAGACTTTGTTGTTACTGTGTCTGGCATATCGAATACGTCACGGGGAGCTTGCCAGGCTCTGCCCTGCGGGCAAGATACTCTCGGTAGCTTGCCAGGCTCTCCGAGAGGGGCGGAGGAATCGAACTCGGGTCGGCCATGTTGGCTGCTTGTAAGGCGAACGCCCTACCGCTGTGCTATCTCCTGTTAAGTGGCAATAACTTTTTTGTAACCACACAGATATGTCTGCACACCAGCACAGGACTAGGACTGGTGGTTGAAACCCCTTGGTGTGTATGGAAGTGACGAAGTGTGGTGGATACAGTCAGGTGCAGTGAATGTCTATGTAGATGCTTTGGAAGCAAACACAGACATAAGGTCCCTCAACACCACCAGCATCCCACAGCCTTTCCTGAACACAGATGCCCATCTACAAAGGACCATGTCCGGGCCACACCTGTTACTAGTCATCTGACCACAGGTGGCCACCAGCTGATCCTGCCTGAGGGTGAAGTGAGGTCATCTCATCTGTAGGGACCTTGAACGCAGGCAGGGGGAGCCTCAGGGTTACCGTGCCTCCTGAGGGACCTTAGGGAGTCTGTTTGTAGGCTGAGGTTCCAAGAGTCAGGCAGAAGCTTGTGGTCTCCTGGGAGGTGTGTGTGGCCTGGATTTAAGGCAGGTGGCCCAGGTTCCTGGGAAGGCACTTCATTGTCCAGCCTCAGATCCACAGTGCATGGCCAGCCACTCATGCATCATGTGGAGACCACCAAGGCCCACAGAGACCCACAAGTGAAAGTGAAATCAGGGTATGAATCTGGTGCTGCCATCTCAGTAGGCTGTGACATCCTGTCCCTCACACTCTGAGGGGCCCAAAGTTCTTCCTGTTACATGTATCTTCTCTTCATACAGCCTTTCAGATGTATACTTTGCACCTGAAAACACACTGAGATATCTGGTCATGAAATTTGACACTTCTGCTCTGGGAAGTGCGTGTCCATGATGAGGGAAACCAAATGTCACTTCCAATTTCTGTTTGGAAATGCCCATAAGAGGGCAGTCACACATGCACCTGGACCTTGGGCCTGGACCTTGTATGGCTCACTCATCCCATGGACTGGCCTGCTTCATGCTCTACTAGTACCAGGCGATTTCTGCTGCCTGAAGGGTCTTCAGGGGGTTCCCTGAGCCCATTCGTTCGGCCCTCAGGTGTCCCACTCCTCATGTCTGCACTTCTCAGACAAGTTAGTGTACTTGTCTCAGGACACCGCAGTCAGGGAGGAACTGTCTCAGCACACCACAGTCGATGTCCCTGTCTCAGGACACCATAGTCAATGTACCCTGCACTAAGCAAACACTGATTTTGCACTCTAAGCACTACCACCCACTGCAGTCAGTATTCTGAGTGTTGCTATCTTGGTACCCCACTTCCCCCACCTTCTGCATCCACTCACTCACCACAGTTAGTGTATCCCACCACTGAAATGACTGGCAGCTCCCGCTGTTGCCGCTGCCGCCCCAAGAGGCGTCTTTTACTCCTGAGTTTCTCCAGGGCCTTCCGTATCTTCATTTCCTTCTCTCTTAAGAGGCGTTTCTGGACCTGCATGAAAGATTCTCCTAAAAACACCCAGGATGGTGGTGAGCAAGCAGTACTAACAGGGGAACATGTCAGAGCAGCTCCACCTCAGGTCCCTGGGAATGTAGAGGGTGACAGAGGCTGCTCCCCACAGCCAGAGACTGTCCACCCAGGGGTGGCCTTGCCTCCAGACTGCACCTTGGAGGTCAGCTGAGCTCCCCTTTACCCAGGAAAGCCAAGGGGAGAGCCAAGGAGAACCCAAGATATATGCAATGAGCTAAGTGTACCCCAGACATGTCTCCCTCCTGATCTGGAACCCAGGTCAACCTTCTCTGGGAAACAGTCTCTGCAATTGTGAGGCTGAAGTGGGTTCTTCTGGGAGTGGACAGCCCTAAACAAGGTTCTGGTGTGACCCTCAATCCAGTCCATGTCTTCACAAGAGACAAAAGAGACACATACACAGGGGAAGCCACACGCAGACAGAGCCAAGACAGGAAGGCGCAGCCACAACCAGCGGATGGCAGAGCCCCCCAGAAATTGAACAGGCAGGGAGCACAGCCCTGGAAGTCGTGGTGGTCGGACTCTGGTCTGCAGGACAAAGGGAGGTGCTGTCCAGTGTGTGGTCCTTTGTGACAAGTGCACAGAAGACCACACCAGCTCAGTTTGTGTGAATGTATGCACAGAGGTGGATACCTGCTAAGACCTTCTAGGGGTGCTGTTTCAGGACCCCCCTCCCAGCGCCCAGTCAGGATGAGGCCCACGTTACCTGACCCCATGATATAGCGAGAGCCCCCTCTGTGCTCCAAGCAGCTGCTGCCATCTTTCAGGTTGGACCTGGAATGAAAACGGAACAGCTGAGAGTTGCAGGCCTGTCTATAACTTGGCTGAGAGAACTGAGAGGGCGGCACACTTCGGGACAAGAAGACAACTGGGGTTGTGGCCTCAGAACGGAGAGACTGGAGTCTTAGGTGCTCCTAGGCAGCGTGAGGAACACTGGCCCAGACTGGAGAGGGATCCCTAACATGAGGGTGGCCCCACAGGCACACTGCTAGGACACAGACCCCACCAACTACTGGCCTGGGGTGTGGCCACTTTATGTCACATGCACTCCACAGGACAGCCACCAACAGGGATTCAGGGAAGGTCCATGGAGTGTCTGCCGGCACCTCAGGAGGGGCAGCTCTGCCAGGGCCACCTGCAGCTGGGCCTCCTGCGTCCTTGCATTGCAGCGGAAGATGTGAAGCACCACGGTGAACCGGTCCAACACCCGCACGCCCCATAGAGTTTCCAGTTCTTTCTGCAGCAGGAGGGGTGTGTTCAGGCAGGGGCAGATGCAACACACCACTGCATGCCTCTTCTGCCCCACCCCCATCCCTGCTGTTCACCCTCAAGCTTGGGCAGGAACCAATGGGCTAGGCAGTACCTGAGTGGGTGCAGCCAGCCGCTCCACATTCAGGAAGACAGCTGTGATCTCTGAGGACCCTCGGATTGTCTCTAGTAAAGGAAGGCTCGTCAGGGGGCCAGTCTGTGAGGGACCAGCCCTGCACTCTGTTGGGCTGTGTCTGCCTTCAAAGCACATATCTGAGGAGTCAGTCGGGCTGAGGCAAGAGCTCACAATTCCACAGGGACAAGAGGGGATGGGTTCTGTCGGCAGGGATGATGGAGTCACAAGAACATGCCCAGATCATGGGGCATAGACAGTAGGGAAGACTGGGTAGGGCCAGAGGTAGCTTCCCCCACACTCTCAACCGGGCAACATACTCTCAGAGCCTCATCCCAGCTCCCAAGGGAAAAGCAGCTTCTGGACAACTGCCCCGTGTTTCTGCAAGGCAGCCTTGTTTCAGGGTTAGCCATATTCCTCCACTTCTCTGAGAGGAGACAATTTTAGGGGGGTGGGGGGGAGGGACACTCACCTGTCAGGTGCTCCAGGGTTCCTTTGCTGAACAAAAGCTTCCTGTCAGGTGTTTTCATGGGTATCACCAATGTCTCCACCACTGACCAGTTATCTAGGGTGCCTACCAGTGCCTCTGCCTCTGCAACCTGCCACTTGGCTTTAGGGAGAAAGAGGCCAGTATGAGGGCTGGTGTCCAACCATGCCCAGTGCATCCTACTCTGTGCTCCTCTGTTGGGTTACTGCCTGTTTTCTGCAAGCAGGTTCCCTGGAAAGCACCTGCATGGGTATTTGTCTGAAACACAGCTGTGTGCTTCTAGAGAGCCAGTGATGGATGAGGTGGTCAGAGGAGTGGGGTCTGCGACCAGCGGAGTGGGAGCACCGGCATGGTCAGCCTTATGCTGGAACTGGGTGGGAGGAGGTGAGGGGACGCCCTGGCCGGTCCTGACCTGCTGGAGGTCAAGTCTCACGAGGCTCCTTATGAACAGTGTGTGCGAAAGGATGCCGACTCCTTGTCCTGGGTGTCATCCAGAGCTGATCCCAATGTAGGAAAGAAAGAGAGCATCCACCCAGGTCCATAGTCATAGGATAGGATGACACGAGGCAAAACTCTGATGCACCCAAGGCCCAGATGCCTGCCCCCATAACCCTGACCTCCAACTACTCATCCTATAGGCCTGGAAGCTCTGTCCCGGACTCTCCGTTAGGGGCCTCAGAGTCCTGCTTCCAAAGCCCTCTTGCCTCAGTTTCCGCAGTGGGTTAGCCCTCCGCCCCATTGGTTACGGTCCTCGGAAGCCCGCCCCCATCTCTCCGCCTCTTGGAATCTAGAATGCGGGTACGACCCTCACAGCCCCGCCTTATAAAACCGCGCCCTCTCAGGCTTAGGCCCCATTGGTCAAAATCAGAGACGCCCCTTCCCCCCCCAAGGCTCGCCTCCGGGACTATTCAAGGGTACAAAGCATTCGTAGCCCCGCCCCCAGACTTAGATCTCATTGGTTACAGCACTAGAAACCACGCCCCCAGAGCGCGCCTGACTTACGGCCATTGGTTCTGGCCCTCGGCGCCCCGCCCACACGTCACCTTGTGTAAGCTGGGGCTTCCCGGGTCCCCACTTGACCTCAGGGTGAATCAAACACACGCGCTGCGTCCCCGCCGGCAACAAAGGCTCCCTCTTCAGCAGCGCCTCATCTTCTCCCGCATCGTCTGGCTCTTCCTCTTTCTCTTCTCCCGCCCGGCTCCTCCGGCCTTTAGTTCCTGGGCCCCACTGCCCGCCCCCTCGCCCCTCCTGGCCCTGCGCACCCCCATGTCCTACAGAGGCGAGCCCGTGCTGGGGTTGGAACGGCAGCGGGAGCGTGACCCTCGGTGACCGGAGGCTGCGAGCCACGCGAGAGAGCCCGACCCCCAGGAGGACGGCGGCCCGCGCGGCCCACATTCTGTGCCCACGCTTCCGTACCGGGCGCGGTAGCGGCCGAGGCGCCGCGGGGGCGTCCATTGGTTCCCCGGACTCACGTGACCCCGCGCTGATTGGACGAGGGCCGGGCGCCTGCCACGTGGGACGCGCTTTGCTGTGCGGCCTTCGGGCAGCTGCAGACTGCTGCCTGCACCCCAGCGGCGCTCGCGTGGGCCGCTTCCCCGAGCGTCCCAGACTCTTGGGAGGGTGGGGCTGGAGTGAACTCAGGCTCACTGCAGCCCATTCATCAGTTCATGTTATGGGTTCACAATTAAGAAGAACAAATGATTACTTCAAGCTAAATTAAAGCCTTTAAAGAATGCAACACAGCTGTGTAAACAAATATAAATCTGGAATTAGGAGGTGTCCGCAAAAAGAAATCATTTCTGCATGGATGAAAGAGAGAACTTTACCTTTCAGGAGTTCAGGGTCTGCCTGGAGGAAGGTCACAGAGAATGCTATAACTAACTACCCCACTTCCAATATAGACTTTAGACTTAGAACAACGTTCAGGCAAATATGATATTTCATTTATTTTTTTGTTTATTTGGGGCCACACCTCGCAGTATTAGGGAGTCACTCCTGGTGGTGTTAGGGGGACCACACAGTCTAAGGATGGAACCCAGGTGGACTGCTTGCAAGGCAAGAGCCTCACCTGGCCCATCAAATAGTTTATTTTCAAGAGAGGAGGAACTCCCACTTAAAAGCTGGAAAGAGACAAAACATCTGGCAACTTGATGAGCTCCTGGCAACTTCCAATATCCTAACTGAACAAAACCAAGCTAAAAAGTTAAGTCTCGGAAGAAACCAACCTTGCTGACACCTTGGTCTGTACTTCATGAGCTGCAGGATAATACATTTCTTTATCTGTGCTGCTCAGTTTACAGTCATGGTTATGACAGCCCCAGCAGGCCAGTGCAGAGGAACCCCTCCAGCATTCCACTGTCTTACTTGAGGTGGTTTGCTAGAGAAATCACTGTTCTGTTGGTAAGTATTCCTTTGTTTCCCCCACACACAAACACACACAAATGCATACATACAACCTTAGTATGTAGAGGTCATTAGTGGCCGTTCAGAGTCCTTGGAGATCAATCTCTCAACTCTTGCCTTGAGGTAGGCACCAGTGAAACCCTATGATCTAACTGTCCTCAGCACACACACCCATGGAGTGCTTTTACAACCTTTAAACTCACACCCACCTTCCACTGTGTTTGATGCTTCTGAATACAAGCCTTTTCCTTTGATTTTCCTTACATAATAAAATTGTAGACATCAGCTGTGAGAAGTTATGCCCAAAGTTTATTTTATTTTATTTTATGGGAAGGAGTTTCACCTGGTGATGCTCAGGGTTTAAAGCTGGCTTTATGTTCAGAGATCACTCCTGGTGGTGCTTTGGGAATCGTATGTGGTACAAGGGATTCAACCAGGGTTAGCCGTGTACAAGGCAAGCACCTAAACTCCTGTACCATATCTCTGGGCTCATTATTGCCCAATTTTTATTCGAGAAAAGTAACTTCATTTATACTATGGTGAAACATATAAGACATTTCAGGTATATTCAAATACTATTCACCATACTGGAAGTTGTATGTGGTAAAAAAGAAAGCTATGAAGGCATAATAATTTATAAATGCAAATAATCAACAAGCAAAATCTAAATAATACAGATCAAATATAAATAAAACTAAGTTAATTTTTTAAATTTGCTAAATAAGGTGAATGTTAAAAATAATTTTATGTGTATATGTCAAGAAGGCAATGCTTAGAGACCTACAGTAATTGCAGGGAGGGCGCATGCAATTATGGCGACAATAAAGTAAGGGTATGCAAGATTCTGGTTAAAATAAAATAAAGGTGTCCATGATCATGGTGACATTAAAATAAGACTCTGCTTTGGTCAGGATAAATTCCTCAGGGAAAACTGCTGGGGCTGTCATAACCATGACTGTAAACTGAGCAGCACAGATAAAGAAATGTATTATCCTGCAGTTCATGAAGTACAGACCAAGGTGTCAGCAAGGTTGGTTTCTTCCAAGACTTCTGCCCCCGCGCCTGGGTGTTCCTTCCCGGAGCCCCTTGGAGGGGAGCGGGTTGAGCTTTCCTCCCCGCCCCGACCAGGGCTCCGGCAGCCGAAGACCTCCAGGACCAGCCACCACCATGCTGAGACCACTCTCCGCACACATGAAGGTACTGGCAGAGGGACAAAGCCACGCGGGTTCCGGGGCCGAGACCTCCAAGCCTACTCGAATTGGAGTTGAGCATCTTCCACCCAGATCCTCCAAATTCCAGTAGGCGGGGGTCACACCCACCACCTGGCCCCCTGGCGCCGTGTAATCCCATCAGCGGCCAAGACTCAGAGACTTTAAAATCCAGAACCCGGACGAGAACAGTGCAGTCTTCTGCCCCTGCGCCTGGGTCATGCAATGATGAACCAAAAGGAGGGGCCCAGTAAGCCTCTGGTGAGTAACTGAAACCACCATTGCAGCCCAGCTATGAAAAGAATGTTCTAGAAATTGTTGCTGGCTATGGAAGCACATGAACAGAGAGCTTCCAGAGCTGTGGAGCTTGACCTCTCCCCTGTGCCCAACTCTTGCTGTTCAAGGAGCAGAGAAGCAGTGTGGAGGAGCTCGACTACAGCCCAAGGATCTTCAGGAACAGGAAGAAGCTGCCTGGGTCCAGGCTGTTGCTGGCCTCCTCTAAGGTCAGTCCTGGGGCCTTAGAGGAGCTGAGCAGGAACAAAGTGGCCTGTGTTAGACATGTGCCTACTCCCCCACCTTGGCAGGAGGGTTATAAGCATAACATAGCCCATAGAGCACTGGAGGCGGAAGATACATAGGGGTAGGGCAGGGGAGTGAGGCCAGGCAGGTACAGACCCAAGCAAGAGGCGGTGGGAGGTCTCTGTCCAGCTCATCAGTGGGACTGGGTTCCACAGAGCATGTTTGTCCTACATGGTCAGGAGAGTGATGCCCAGGTCTCCAGTTAGGACAAGGGCAGTGGGGGCTGCCTAATGCCTCTGTCTTGCTGGTTTCTTTCCCCAGGCAGAACCGATTTTTCATTCCCTTACTTCTGTGATGCCTGAAGCAATGTTGCAAAGATATAAACCCCACCCACCTCTGCCTCACCGGGCCACCAGCTGAATATAACACCAGCCCTTAGGCACCTCCTAAATTATTCCTGAGACTTCCAAGAACAAAACCGTCCTCAGACACTACAACCTGGGGAAATTGGTTTATCAATGCAGGTGCAAGACAACTGTAGGGCTAGGCTTGACCCAGTAACCATACCAGATGTGCTTTGTGTGTTTGGGAGGGGTAGTGCTATGCAGAGAGGAGAGGCCTGTGCATTTCTGTGAGTGAATGGAAGGCACTGCCTACTCTCCATTGTTGAGAGAAGTCAGGATTTGAAAGAATCACTCTGACCTGGAATTACCTGCCTGCCATCCATTATTTCTCACGCCCCAGCCCTGCTTCCTCCCCGAAAGGGAGAAGGGTTCGTTTTGCTGTTGAGAGCTCCTGTGCTCTGTTTCTGGAAGGAATGAGGCTGTGGGAGCACCTGAGTGTCCTGAGAGGCACCAGGTTTGCTGTGGGAGCACCTGAGTGTATGAGGGAGTCCTGTGTGTCCTGAGAGGCAGCAGGTCTGCAATGCAGTGGGCTTTCTAATCAGGAAGCATTGGTTCTTCATCTTTTTCTGCATTTTATAGATAACATTGCTTATTAAGGTGCCGAACAAATTCCATAGGGCTGGAGCGATAGCACAGTGGTAGGGCGTTTGCCTTGCACGCAGCCAACATGGCCGACCTGAGTTCGATTCCTCCGCCCCTCTTGGAGAGCCTGGCAAGCTACCGAGAGTATCTCGTCTGCACGGCAGAGCCTGGCAAGCTCCCCGTGAACGTATTCGATATGCCAGACACAGTAACAACAAAGTCTCCAATGGAAACGTTACTGGGCCTGCTCAAGCAAATCGATGATCAACGGGAGGGCCTTTACTTACTTTTACTTACTTAACAAATTCCATAGGATTCTGAAAATTGTAATTTATACATGTGGAAAAGTCACTTTATTATAAAATGTTTTTTCTTTTCTTTAACCTCAGGGGTTTCTCAAAGATGAAACCCATGGAACAGGGCCCAGGGGACAGGAGCAACTGCCAAGAAATCCCCAAAAAGGAACCTCCAGGCCCCTGGAGACTCCCAGGAGACTCTGAGTCAAGAGAAAAGTCTGGAAGCCTCTCAGATCACTTGTCCTAGGAAGTCTTGGTCCTGGGACAAAAGGACCAAGGAGTCCCTAAAGTAACACCCAGTGGGTTTTCCCACTCTCAGTCAGGTCCAGTGACCAATCAGGGGGACAAACTGCGGGGAACAGGTAAGGGGACTCCATCTGCTTTTCATTACCCCTAGTCCTTGATGCAGTCAGAGAGGAAGGTAAATGTCCCCAGAGCACCCCCATTCCTTCCTGCTTCCCCTCTTATGCCCTCGTCTCACCATCCCTCCACCCAAGCCTGTCTCCTCAGCCACATCCACTGTAGGGTGTGCTGCTGAGTCACAACCCTGGCCCCTGTGTCCACCACTGAATGTGATTCTTACATATTTGTCTCCTGTGACATCCATACAAAGCACAGACATGGGTGCTTATACCACCAGGACCACCGATGTTTATTCTTTCACAGTGCTCATGATCAGAGCTGTTCAGCCTATGTGTTCATACCTCACCCTCCTCTGATCCCTTCTTAGCACATGCCTCAGTCATCCCCCACGCTGATTCCCAAGGCCACCCTTTATTTGTGCATTGTCTCTTTCCCATAGAGGTCTGGGTGGGAAAAGTGATTCTCCACGAAGGGGGTTGCTGGACAAAATATGTGTTTCTTAGGTCAAATATTCAAATATTTCCCTTTGGTGGGTAAGGAAATGTCCTATAAAGCACAAAACAGAGACTTTGCAAATAAGTGCCAAATATGGAAGTGTTCACCCTAGGACAGATTTAGCC